GTGTCCTCGCCACTGGCTTTCTGTCTCAGTGTGGCAGAGGCGTGCTAAGGTCCCATCTCCCAGGTGCTCAGCCTACTCTTTTTGGGAGAGCAGGAGTTTGGTTTCAGGCAGGCAGTGGTTGTGTCTCGGACCTGAGAAGAAGGGGGGTGATTTTCTGGTTGTTTCTGACCAGCTCTGATGCTCTTCCTCTCTCCCCGACAGATGCCACCTCCTTACGAGCACGCTCTGCGGCACCCTCCAGCTTTCTCAGGACCAGCAATCATCTCAGAGACCTCAGACAGACGTGGTGCACCAGACCCTTTCCCGGTCCCGCTCAGCTACCAAACCCAGCGCAACACCGCAGTGTGAGGCCTCAGCCTCGCCGTGCTCCTCCTTCCCTTGGTGGCAGCGACAGAAGTGCCTGGGACATGGTTCTCATCTGCAGGGAACAGCCAAACCTCAGACCTTCACCCTTATTCCTGATCGGCTGGGAGAGATGCAGGCGATTCAGACCCAGCCAGCGATGTCCGTCCCGCAGCACGAGGACAGCCACAAGGCCAGCGCCGAGCACCGCGCTGTGCCTGCCATGAGCAGGGCCGGCCGCGTGTGCTTCTCTCTGGCACACGCACCGTTACCAAAGGCGCCAGAGCGGCTGCTTTGTCCTGCACAGCAACAAAGCAAAGGTGAAGGTCTGCTCAGCCAGAGCTCCTCGAGGCAGCTGGCGTCCCGTACCTCTGTGAGGCTGCGGCAGGCACCGCCAAGTGCAGGGCATCAGCCCTCGGGGTGGTTGTGTTGTGCTACTTCACGTTTCCCTCGGGTTGTAAAACTGTTTACTTTATCAGGGTTATAAAACTGTTTACTTTATCAGCGCAGCAGATACCAGGCGGGAATCTGACCTGTGAGTGGCAGAATGGACGTGCGTCGGGGCACTGCTGCGTGCTCCCACAGCAGCGTTCCTCTGATTTACAGCCACTTTGTGTGGACTTCAGGGAAAGGTTTGGAGATGCTCGAGATCCAGGGGTTACATCTCTTTCAGTGCTGCGTGCAAACACAGACCATCAAGCTGAAATGGATGTGCAACCTGGGAAAGGACAAAGCATAGGCAAAATGCTGGTGGTCTCTGTGAAGGACATAAAGCACCGGTGGAGATCCGTGCTGACAGAGTTTACCTACTCATCTTTTGCAGGGCAATCTACTGATGTCATTACACTACCAGTTTTGATAATCTGTTTTCTACTGCAGAGCCAATGTTTCAAATTGTTTACAACCTGTAGATAAAATGAGATCAGCTCGGCCACGAGGCATTTGGGCTCCTTTCTTTCAAGTAGCATAAGCCATTGCGGAAGGGCTTGGGAGAGACAAAAGGCTCAATCTTCCGGATTATGGCTTTACGAGGCACCTCCAGCTGCTGAGCTTCTGACACCATCCCTGACTTGTGCATCTTAGCAGGCACTCTAAAATTAGTTACAAATTAGCTTTGGAAGTATGAATTTGCCTCGCAGAGTTAGAAAAAGGAATGCTCCCAGCTATTTGAGGTAATCAGTGAGGTGGGTTAGACATTAGCAAAAATCTAGCTCCCTGGGGTGCAGTTGGAAAAGGACCTGTCCTCTCCTGCAGTGCGCTGAGCTATGATACAAATACAGCAGCAGTGCCTAAAACGAGTAAAAATTACTACTGAGGGAATATGAGGGAATTATTAATAGGACAAGTATCGTCATAAAGCTAATTCTGGAGTGGAGTACTCAGTGGAACAACAGAAGGGGTTCTCCAGGGGAAGGCAGCTCCACGTACTGAACCAACACAGGTAACACCCTACAAACAGGCAAGACCCACAAGAACTCCAATGCATTTATTGAGCACTCTAACAAAACCCAGCAGATCTCTTCAGTGCCTGAACTCCAACCCCGTGTGCTTTGGGAGCAAGAGAGCAAAGGCACGAACGGGTGTCCTCAGAGCTGGAACACTCTCGCTCTCGTCCTCCTCAGCTGGCAGCCCAGGGTCTGCCCCAGCTGCACCTTCCTGTCCATCCCCACACGGATCAGGGGCCTCAGAGCATGGTGACCAGCTTAAAGCTCCCCACTTCTGCCGTGGGGATAACGCTGATGAAGGTTTTATAAAGAATGGCGCCTTTGGGCAGGCGACAGATCACCTCCCTGCTCTCGCTGCTGCGGGGTGGAGGCACGTACACCTCCTTGGTGTACCGCACGATCCCGTCCTCCAGGGCGTAGAGCGTCTTGTTACGGCCCATCCCCACCTGCAAAAGGACCAGCACAGCGTTGGGAGGGAAAGGCTGGAGGTTGCTACTGAAGCAGATCTGATCATCTGCCCGCCTTGGTTTGTATCTTGACTTCAGCAGCATCCGCTGCTTCGTTTTTTAAAATGGAAGACAACAAGGCCGTTTGCTTGCAGCAAGCAGCGTGAGCTCGTTATGAGATGCTGATTCCACCCTAAAGTATAAGAACCCAACTCTCCAACCCTCAGTCCATTCCTAAATCATGTGGGCACAGCTCTGATTTCATGCAGGTTGTGACTAAGAAATACCAAATAATAAAACCCAATTTCAGGATTATAAAAAAGAAATAATAATAGAAACGATAATTAAAAAAACAGCTTGAGAGAGAGGGAACAATGAGGTGGGCTGTTCTGGGCTGCTGTTCCGAGTACTAAGGAAGAGGGAAAAGTGACTTACATAAGCCCCTGGATGCCAGCGTATCAATCGCTGCGTAGCCAAAACGTTGCCTGCGTGCACAAACGCGCCTGCAACAGAACAACGGAGTCAGCCTGTGGAGAAATGGAGCTCCCCGAGGGCCCTGACGCTAGCGGAAAACTAATGGCTCCAGGACTTTAAAAAAAAAAAACAGCTTTCTGTGGAAATTTTCTATGGAAAAAATGACTTCAAATGCTGAAAGCATCCAAACAAAAATGCTGTTGGGGTGAAGCAGAGGGCAACTGATATACAGTGGAAAAAAGCAATTCTAGTCCTTGAAAAGATTGCTCCTGGGGTGCAAGGCATTTTCTGTTTGCTGAAGGCATTAGTTTTATTACCTGTAATGCTGATATGTTTTCATTAGCAAACTCACTAATTATTAAGCACTTAGCTGTAAGGATCTGTACTTTGGCTTCAGCTGTGCGTCACAGTTCTCCCTTTTGTAAACACGCTTCTCAACCCAGCATGGGGGGAAAACGCACTTCAGTTCTTCGGTGTCCCACAGCACGCCCTCCTCCCAGCTTCTCCGGAGAAGCAAAGCATGTTTTCTGGAGCCAATTTTGGCTGCCTGCTCATGGGCCCATTGGGGAGGAAGGCTGACTCACGCTGCCCTCCTGCTGCCCACCCTGGATCAGGAGGTTTCGCTGAGCCTCCTCTCTCTGCTGGAAGAGCGCCTCAGCCGCCTCCTACTCTGCAATTACCGCCCCTGCCAGGGGCTGACCCGTGAAGGATGCCACGAAACACGCGTAAGGGCAGAGTATCTGCCTGGCCTACCTTCCACTTTCTTGACTCCGTAGCGCTTCCCAGGGCTGCGGCCACCCAGATTTTTTGAGCTGCCCCCAGATTTCTTAGAAGCACATCGGACAGCAGCCAGGCTTGTTTGCGGAACACTCAGAACTAGATTTGGAGCAAGAACAACAAAAATAGCTGAAAAAATGAATACACGTGCCTTTTTCAGATTTAAAGGATATCAGTTTATACAGTTTTTAAAACTAAAGGCAAACAAAAGCCCAGAGGAAAAAAAAAATAGTTACTTCCAAGATAAATCATAGTTAGACCACCCTGGACTAAATCTTCTGCAAAGAGATGACATCTCAAGTTCTGCGGCTACCCAGACAAGAATAAAAGGATCAGGACATAAACAAAATCACTTCTGGTAAAGGCCTTGTAGATTGTGCTACAGAAATCACAAGCTGCTACAAATTGGCCTTATATTGCTTCAAGAAAAAACAAACTGTGAGCTCTGTTTCAGTTTCACCCTCAGTTGAATGGCATTTATTTAGTTACTAAGTAAATATTTTGTAATCTTATAAGTGAAGAGACTCCAATTCAAAACAATGTGTCAACACATCCAGAACTGTTACCCTGAAGGTAACAGGGTCAGCATTTTGTGCCAATCCTTGAGTTACAACCAGGACAAGTCAAGCAGAAGTCAGTTGTTACAGTCAGAGGTTGTGTCTGGAAACACAGCATCATTCACACCACAAAATTACTCATTTGGGGAAAAAAAGGGCACTGACAGCAAACACTGTGGTTTTCTTATCAGGAAGGCTGACGCTCTGGTTTTGTTCACCCTCAGGTGAAATTCTTTGTAGAACACGTCTGTGACATAATTAGTTGGGTTTTTTTTGGAAGGATCTCAGCAGTTCCTCCTTTCACGCAGTTAGCTGGCAAACCCAAGTTCTCCAAACTTTTCAAAAAAAATTTTTTGAACTCTTTTCAACCCCAGAAGCAGCAGGTAAGAGCACACCACAAAACGCGCTCCTTTCCTCCCTCTGAGAAAAACTCCGAATTCTTTTAGTCTTAAGTTACCACAGACGGTCAGCGAGTTAGAAATCTTGTAGTCTTGTTCTATGAATCACGTTAACTCCAAGCTCCGGGTACTCGTTACGCCAAGGCCGGGCTCTGGGCCCTGTCAGCAGGCAGGGGAAGGGGAGTGACAGAGGCAAACACACCCCAGTTCTAAGCTACCGCCCGGCTGACTGTACCAGAAGACACACAAAACCCAAGCGGCCGGTGCCGGGGTTACATTTTGCGTGACTTTTAGTTATTTTGTGAATAAAAAGGAAGCGCCGCGCTCCGCCCCCCCTCCGGGCCCTGCCGCCCCTCACTCACACAGCCGCCCCAGCGCCGCCATCTTCCCGGCGCCGCCTCCCCTCCTCTTCCGGCGCGGCGAGCGGCGGTTGGCCGGAGCGCTCGCGCACGCTCTCCCGCGGACCAATCAGCGCCCAGTATGCGCGGCGTGCGCGAGGGCTCAAGCCAATCGGCGCTCAGCGCGGCAAACGCCCGCCCGCCCTCCCGCTGCCTCTCCTGAGGGGAGACAAAATGGCGGCGGCCGCGGGGGGCGCTGAGGGGCGGTTGTCGCCGTCAGGGGCCGTCCCCGCGGCCGGGGTCGCCGCCTTCCCCCGCGTGGGGAAGCGCCGTTGTGGTGCTGAGCAGCGACAGCGAGCCCGAGGTGGTTCCTCTGGCCGAGCGGGTGAAGAGGAGGCTGCCCCGCGGCCGGCCCTCGGCGGAGGGGAGCGCGGCTCTTGGGGAGGGGCCGTGTGGGAGCGGGCAGCGGCCGGCGGCTGGCGGCGGGGGGCAGGCCGGCACGGGCGGGGTGCTGGGGGCCGAAATCAGGCACTGGGGAGGCGCAAACGGTGCCGGAGGGGTGGAGGGGGCGGCTCCCGGCCTGCCAGAAGCTGCCCTGACAGAGCCCGAGGCCCGGCCCGGCGGGTCCCCGCCGAGCGGAGGCAGCGCAGAAACTTCCCCGGTTCCGAAAAGGAGAAAATACAGCCAGAAGGAGAGGGAGGCGATGCGCCAGGCTGCGTGGCAGAGGAGAAAGGAACGAGAAGCGCGGAAGAAGGAGCAGGAGCAGGAGAAGGAAAGGAAGAAGACCCTTGCCAAGATACTGAAAGCTCAGCGGCCAGGGGAGTGCCAGAAATACATAACGGTGGTGCTGGATCCAGGTGCTTCTCCCAGCTACCTGCCCCTCCCCTGCCTTGTGCTGGCAGTTAGCTCTTGCCGTGGAAGCCTGACCCACGTATCAATTTCAGCTATTTTACAGGTAGAAGGTGGTGCACAGGTCCTTGCTGCCTTGCAGTCCGCAAACTATTCCTGTGTGGTTGAGAGGCAGGCTGTTCCCTGCAGCATCACCTGGAGGAGAAAGGCTGTGATACCTCAGGTGCGAGGACAGAATCTTGATATGCTTGCCCTTTAATTTCTCTGTTATTTGCACTTTAGCAACCCACGTGAGCATCCTCCAAACTTCTCCCTGTCTCAGAGCTCTGAGTGGGAGTGCCAGTTTGAGTGAGTTTGAGTTACAAACAGAGTGATGCTCTGGCTGTTTGGTTTTGTATTTGGCAGACTGAAGATGGTGATGAGTGGACAGAAGAGCCAAACGTCCTGGTTCTGCTTCGCTTGGAGGAGTTTTTGTCCATGGTTCGCGGCTACAAGCAAGTAAGGCTGCTTAGGGCTGTCATGCTCACTGAACGTGCCTTGCTGAGAGGTGATACTTGTCATCCCTTTTCATGGGATGGTTTTGATGTGGGATGGAAACTGTGGTTCCAGTAGACCTTAAGTCTTGTTTTTAGAAGCCCGTACTTGATCAAACACATCGGGGCTGTATAATGCAGAGTTTTGACAAGCTTTCTTTCCTAGCTACTGTTTTTCACAGATTTTTAAAGAGATAACGTTGTCCTAATAGATATTCCAGGTCAAGTATGTTGTGGGTTGGTTTGGTTGGTTGGTTTGTTTTCTGCCATAGCTTATTACTACATCAAGTATTGTCTGTTTGTCCCCAAAGAGCCCCGTGAGCAGACCTTTCCATCTGCAGAATTGGAGCCCTAGGTTCCTGGGGTTGCCTGCGTAACTCAGTATGGTTCTGTTGATCTTTGCAGGAGGCCCAGGGCTGTGCAGAAGGACAGAAGGAGACCTTGCAGAGCTTTGTAGCTCAGGTTTTGAAGAAAATGCCTGGGAAAATTTTGGCAATGACAGTAGTTGAAGTAGAAAAGTATTTCAGGTGAGACTTTTTTCCCTCCAAATGTTTCTGCGTTGTCTCTGGCCTTGCAGAATGCCACAGATGTTTACACTAACTCCTTCTAGCAAAGACTGGAGTGTGACTAGTGTTCCTACCCAGAAGTGCTCCGCTATTTTTTGTGTAGGAACAGAAGCGAAGCTCCACTGAATCTGTCACCGCAGTGAACAAGGGCAAATAGCTGGGGAAGAACATAAGGATGGCAAAAAAAAAGAAGTCCCAAATACTTCCTTGGTGTGCTTTTCTAGTTTTCAAAGAATTGCTGCTGAGGAATTTTGTTAATCAGATATAATGCTCTTGGATTTGATGGTCCTTGATGTTTTCCTTAAAATTCAGGGTCCCTCAGTAGGGGTTGTTGGTACTAAGTTGTCTCACACTCCACAGCAGCCTGGTCCTGCTGCTTCTGCTGAAGGGAATTTCCAATCTTATCTTTGTTTTCTTAGATGTCTCAGAGCTCAGTCAAAAAAGAGACTGCAACAGGCAAGAGTGCACAGAAATGAAGGAGACGAGCAGAGGAGAAAGGAAGTTCAGGATTCTGGTCTGGAAATATCCAGGTTGGATGTGGAAGAAGTGAGTGAGTACCTTGAGAACAGGCAGGCAGCTGTTGTCTCTGCTGTCTGCCACCCCTGGAACATTTGACCTGTTCACACCCTTTCCTGGACAGGGACCTTCAGCTTTCACTAGTTTATGTGCTGTGGACAGAGCTCTTTGTGTTCAATTCCCCACCACTCAGATACAAACCTGCTCTCCCCTGTTCCACCAGGTTTCATTCACCTAAATTTTGGGCGGGAAAATGCGAATCTTGGTTAGCATCTCTCTCACTTCGTGGCCCACTGATAAAAGCCCGTCACTGCTGCCCTGGTGGCCTGCGTGTAACGGGAGCCTTCCACCGAGGGGCGATGTCAGCTGGATGGCACTCGGCTGCTATTAAGGAGTCAAAGCATCCCTGAATACGTCTGTGCCTTGAGCAGTTTCCAAAATGGGGAGGGAGTGGGTGGTTGTGACTTAGAGCAAGATGTTATGACTCGTTTTATTTTTGTGTTGTTTTGGTTTTGTTTGTTGTTTTTTTGTTTGTTTTTTTTTCCAGACAGGCATGGGGTTTGAGGTTAGAAGGTGAATTGTTCCATTGCTGTTTCCAATGATGTTCACAGGCCTTAGTGGATTTGCAGCTGTGCACACAAGTCCCAGTCACTTTTTTTGCGAGCTGGGAGGAGGTTGGAGAGTTTGCCACGATGTTCTCAAAAGCTGTAGCTGAAGCACCGTACAAGTGAGTAAAGAAATGAGGCGTGGGCCTATCTTCTTTGGAAAGGCTTTGCTCTCAGGATTCCTGGGAGGGAGCAGCAGGGGTGAGGAGAGACCCTGATTTCGAGTTGTAGTCTCTTGGCATCAAGCGAAGGTCTTGATCTCAGTCTGATTTTAAGAGTGGGAAGGGGATGTGAGTAGGGCTTAACTCACAGTATGAGCTTGTCTCTCCTGGTTACATATGGAGGAAATTATCGAGAACGCGCCATTTAAATGTTCAGCTGATAAAGAAAGGCAGCAACATGCTACACGGTGAGAGCGAAGAAAACCTTCTTGTGTAGTCTCACACAGTCTTAGCATTCCTATCACAGCAGCTGCTGTGAATTACATCTCAGCCATGAAAAGAGATGTCTTTAAAAATGACATCTAAAAGAGTTTGATTATCCCTGGCAGTCAAAAAGTGAATTCTTTTTTGCCGCTTTGTGTGCGTGTTGGCTTCTGGCAGAATTGCTCCCTGCTACAGGATTGTTTCTTTTTCAACAGGAAATCTGGGCCTTAGACTAAGAAATAGGTAATGCGTGTAGGCAAAACAGGGTCACATTTCTATCATTTGATGCCAGTGGTGTCTGTAATAGCTTGGCACAAGAAGAGATGCGTTCTCTCTCTGTCGATGTGATAGCAGATACAGGAATTGATTTTTTTATTTTTTTTTCTTTTTTCCATGACTTCATTTGCATTTCCATCCCTTGTCTGTAGGCGACAGCAGGAGAAGACGGGGTTCTCTTTCTACTTAGAGAACAAGTGGTGCAGAGGCGTGAAGGTGGATCCCTCTGGAAAGGGCCTCTTTGAAGTGTGGAAAAGGCAGATACAGCAGTTTAACCGGGTCAGCCTGGAGATGGCCGAGGCTGTTGTGACTGCATACCCTTCTCCTCAGCTTCTGGACCAGGTAAGGCTGCCTCAGGAACCCTGAGGACTGTGTGCAGACAGCCAACTACTGCAAAGGCGGAAGGAATCCTGTAATTGATAACAATTTTGATAACAGTGATTCTGTATGAGCTGTTTAGTGAGGTAGTGAAGGAGCTGACTCCTTGGTACCCACCCAACTGAGATCTGGAGGGGCACCAGCTGAAAAATGAAGGCGTAGAGCTGTCACAGGTGCATAGCTGGGATTTTTTTTTATTTTCTTTGAGCACTGGGTGCAAATAGTTGATGCCATGGTTCCTTTGTGTTGCTTGTAGGCCTATAGTAGATGCTCCTCAGAGCAGGAGCGGGAGAACTTGCTGGCTAATATCCTTGTGCGCCGCGGTGAAGGTGTGACAGCCACCTCCCGCCGGATCGGACCCGAACTTTCCAGGCGGATCTATCTGCAGATGACTTCTCACGACCCTGATCTCTACCTGGATGCCACCGGGTAGCCCAAGTGAAGGAGGATTTTGTGGTTTCCCTGGTTTAAATATTCTGCTCCCTTCTGGGAAGACGTGCTTAGGTAACACGTGGGGTCATCGCTGGTAGTTTAAAGATTTTAACCACGTACAGTCTTTTATCATGGTGGAAGAAATTTGGATAACCTTGCGGAATGGCTGGGGTTCACACACAGACGGTGAATGTTTTCTATAACAGCGTGCGATGGACATGCTTACTGCACTGATGGTGCCTTTCTATTTATCAAAAGCTCTTCCTAGGAAATAAATCATTTTGTACAATGCTTTTCATTGCTTCTTAACGTGCTGTCTTGACAGTAGTCTGGTGTTACCAGATGACCCCCAGAGGTCCCTTCCATCTCAAGCCGTTCTGTGACTGTGGTATGTCTCCTGTTGAAAGGAGTGTTTGCTGCTGGTGTCCTAAACTGCAAGTAGTTTTCTTCTCTCTTTAGTGTGAAAAACACGACTGAAAGCAGTATGGTGCTGCCGCAGCACCTGCTCTAGTGAGGGGGAAAAATTTACCTCACAAAACAGACTTTTTCAGTTTTCCGCTGTGGCAGATGGGAATGAGTAAGACTAATTTTCGGATTTAAATTTAGACTGCCCTGATGCAGTCTCCAGACAGCTTAATCTATAGAGGGTCGTGAAATCTGATTACATGTGTTGGAATTATGAGGTCTAAACAGTTGGCAGAAAAAAGCTTGCTTTTAATTAGATTGGGGACCACGCTTGCCTGGCCATGAAGCCATCAGCACTGATGTGCACCCAAGGACGGTTGAGGTCTTGTGCTCCAGAGGCACTTAGTGAGATGAGAGCCGAGTGTGAATTCGTGTGCGTCCAAAGCGTGGAAGTCACCCTTTGGAAGGGGGGAACGTTTTTCAAATTAAAAAACTCTAAGCGATGACAGCTTCACACACTCAGCAGGTACCTTTGTGCAGCCAGAAGCATACTTCTGACCTGAACTGATAAATCCTTATAGCTTTGCAATTGTTATCATAAGCAGCGCTCTCTCTTAGATAGCAGAGCAGCAGATTCCTGCCAGATGCTGAGAGGAATGGATGCAGAGGGGGAATGTTGCTTTGAGTGCTGTTTGCAATGTTTCTGAACGTTTCCAGATAGTAAGCAAGGATCTTTTAAAGACCATAGTGAGTTAAATACCAAAGCTATTTCGAGGAAGCTTGGAAAACATACGTACTGCTAAGCTAGAGAGACTGGCAGCCTTTCCTTCCCTTTAGCTTAAATGGATGCTGTTGCTTTCTTCTGCAAGGTTGTGAGAGAACTTATCGCTGGCCTATGGAAAGCTGAGGGCTCACTGTTTGAGTGATGACCTTGATGCGAAATGCTATGGATGGCTTACTCGTGGCAATGCAGTAAGAGTGGAGCAGAGTAATTGCTGCTCCTCCTGGCAGTGCAGTGCTGCAATCAGCAATAAGTCCAGGTAGCAGTGGAGAGGGAGCCGTTCTGCTGACTGATGTCCACGCGTCTCAGCGGAGTTTGGAGCGTGGCTATTCTGAAACCTGCACTCGCACCATTACGTCTGCACTTCAATTGGTTTTAGTGCTCGTGAACTCTTTGAGGACACGACCAACTTCTGTTTTGTTCTTACAGAGATTATTTATAATTAATAGGCCTCTGTACAGCTGAGTTTTCTTCTCTAGGTACAAACTGCCAAACCTCCCAGCCTTTGCAGCAGCAGTCCCAAGGTGAAGTCCAGTTCTGCCAGGCCGTGTGTGATGCGGCAACAGTGCCACCCAGTGCTGCCTGCTGCTGCTACAGGCAGCCACCCATCCCCTGCCTTTCTGTGAGGGTCAGACCCCCTTTAGTTACACACACAAAAGTCTGCAGACTGGCAAGAAGCCCTTCTTAAGCTGCAGCTCCTTTGTTGGCGCTAGCTGGCTAAAACGAGCAGTTACTGTGTGCAGTCAGAGGTTATTTTTAAACGGCTAAAATTGCTTAACTACAATGAAAACAAGGGGTGTTCTGCATTAGCAACATAAACATCCAGTGGAGACAAATTGATGCGAAAAGTGTTGTATTGAAAATTCTCAGCTTGTTTTCAAGAGTACATCAGCTTCTTCACTCCAACAGAAGGATGCACAGCCATGCCACAAACTTGCAACTGGTCCCGGAGGAGGCCTACATATATCAACCCCATACAGCCATATCACTGATTTTTAGCATTAATAGAAGTGAGAGCAAGAAATGGATATGTATTACAAAACTTACACCTCCATTATAGAGCTATAGCTACCTAGATAACTGTAAGGCTTTTGTATTTCTTTCCCCTGCTCCTATAAATTAGCAACTTTCTGGATCTCACAATCTAGGTAAAAATTCCTTGGAGGCAAGAAGTATTAACAAATTTAAGCAAGTTAATCTGGGCAAATAAGAGCTTACAGGCCAACTGAGAAACATGCACAGCAAAGATGATCCAAACAATAACTCTGCTCTACGTGGAGTGGACCAGCAAATCGATGCTGACTGATTAGAAGCAGTTTCATCAGAACACAATTCCATAGGAATTCTGGCTGCATGGATGGTGGAAGGAGATGCTGAGGAAGCGAGTGCCCGTCCCGGACAATCACTGCTGCGAGTTCTGGTGTAGCAGATTTTGCAGGGCTTTATGGTTTTGCACAGCAGCTACCACATCCTCATAGAGAGTGTTCACGCTGATGCACAGCGGTTGATGTCGTAGCTCTGTCAGCTTGCAGACAGCCAAGGTACAGAGGATGCACAGCAGCACCAGCAGCAGGACCCTCAGCACTGACCGTGACCAGGAGTGCTTGTGCCGGGGCAGCTGAGGAGGACGAGAACTGGAGGCGGGCTCTGTAACAAGAACATTGGCAAGATCAAGAATGTGAGGATTTAGTCAAATATCTGTAATGGTTACATTCGGAAACATGCTGCTCAGGTAATGTGCTGTAGCCTGTGCTACGGTTGTCTTATGAATCCTCATCACATAACTCTGGTTGATAATAAATGCACAAGACCTCCCTACTTACATGAGAAGTTTGAGATTTTCACTTCTGCCCATGAAGGTAAAGGGAGTAAAGCATCTCTGTGTTGCACGAAATCTGTTTTTAACCATGTAGTTCAGTACATCTAAGAAAGGAGTGGAGAGAAGTTCTCGAGAGTTCTTCAGTTCACCCCAGATACTGCAACAGTATCTTCCTCAGCTACAGCTGTCCAGCTGTAAGGCTTCTAACAAGCTGTACTGCTACACTGTTTCCCCACCATTCCTACTCTCAGTACCTGGGCTACATAAAAGCAAATCTGGCATCAAAAAGAGGATGCAGACTAAAAATATGTTGCAATTCTATGGCAGTGGTCTTACTCATTCTCCTTGGCTTATTTTGCCTACGCAGTGCTCAAGGCATACATTAAAACATCACACCACAGTCTTTATTTGGACTCGCTGTGGACACTACTTACTTCGGGTTTGCACGGTTTCTTTTTTAGTTTTCTTCTCCATCTCCTGTTTTGCAGCTCTTTGGGCATCGTACTCCCGTCTTCTGCGTTCCTTTTCTTCTGCCTTCTCCCGCTTCCTCAGTTCCCTTTCTTGAGCTTCCCTGGCTCGCTGTTCAGCTTCACGTTTCTTCTCCATTTCTGGGGATTAATAGGAAGCGTTTTCCTTAATTTAAAGAGCTGTCATTGCCTTCTTCCTTATTATTTGCTTATCTGTTCCCAGTTGGAATGAGGAAACAAATTCCTGCACAGGATCCCGGGCAACCTGCTGTAGCATGGGGACTGCACCCTTATACCCTTAGCTATTCTTTGATTCTGTGAAGTTAAATAATCCCTGTGGTGTGCTTGTTTTTGTTGCTGTTTTTTATTATATATCTTCCCTCTTGCTACCTCAGATTTAGGCTTCCCTTAAAACAAGTTGTGCTCTTCTTTCATATACTTTGTGTGCAACCCACAGAACGTTCCAACTAGGGACCTAACATGTCCCATTCCTGGATGTGTTCGAGGCCACGCTGGATGGGGCTTTGAGCAACCTGGTCTAGAGGAAATTGTCCCTGCCTGTGGATCTTTGAGGTTCCTTTCAACCCAAACCACTCCGAGATTGTGTTGTTCAGGCAACAAACAGCACAGTGATCCCAGGCTATCTTTCTCCCCCTGGCTCTCCTACCCTAGGACTCCCTGATAGTTAGAAACACAAACTTCTGCCAGTTACATCGATTGCCAGCCAGCAGGTATCTGTATGTGGACATGTTAAAGATTGAGAACAGAATTCAGCAAGGTGTGTGTGAGGACTTTGTGCTTACCTCGCTCTGCTTGGAGCTTCCGTTGTCTTTCTTGGTCCTGCTCAGACTGGATCACTTTCATATGCTGCAGTACCTTCAAGGCCCAAGAAAACAACCTGAGAGCTCTGCAGAAGGCTCACTGCATAGCCAGTTCAAATCAGAACAGCTGGAGCGCAGCTGAGGACACTCGGCTGGGTCTAACCAGCCCCAAAGTTTGCACACAGCTGCCTTAGCCCTGCAGGTGCAGCTCTGGAGAGAGCTCAGCCCTTCCTGAATGAGCCTCTGCAGTTAAGAAACAGGTCTGTGTGTCAGAAGAGCAAACATGGCAAACGATGCTAGCCAATACAGAGGATCACAGAACAATTTTGGTTTCAGCAAACTGAATTCTTGCAACAAGCAGTACAAGGCAGTAACACAGGCACAGATTTTTAACTATTCTTGCTCCACAACTCCCAGCAGTAACTGTTTACATGACCCTGCAGTTTCCCAGAGCTTCTCCAAAGATTTTTGTACTCTGCTGTACTCTACACAGGGATTATTTTGTCTGAGTGTCCCTTTGCTTCCTTGCTGATGGAGGAGAGTCCTGCTCAGCCTGGTGTTTTCCCTCTCTAGGCACGGAAGCAGTGAAGTCAGTGCAGTGAACCAGCACCTTACTGGCTAAAGAAATTTCAGAGTGCTGCAGCAGCAGCTGCCCAGCTTGCTAAGCAAAAAGAGGAAGAGCCCTCCACCGACAGAGCTAAGTAAGGAAAAAAGAATAAAAGCAAGCAGGTTCCTTACCCTGACAGCAGCCTGTTTACACTGCTTCTCGTCCAGGCAGTCGCCGGCTACTTTAGCTAGAACAGGATCCAGGGGATTGTCCTTCAGATCCAGCCACTTCAGGTTCTGCAGGAAGGAACGACAAAGGGGAGGCTGTAAGAGCACACAGCAAGCAGCTGACGACAAACAGCACAACACTCCTGAAATTCTTTAAGAGATCCAAAGTAGAAGCAAAGAGCCACTTCGTAAGAACGAAACAGGTATGGAAGGCAAGCAGAGGGCTCAGGCAGAGGTGTTTTCAATAGATGGGAGATAATTTCCACTGAGCTGTGGTGCAGAGACAGCTGAATTTTGGAATGGGTAGGCATCAGGATGGATGCTTTACCAGAGAAATCAACTTGAGAAGGATCACAAGACCCTGGCTCGCGTCCCAAAGCTTTACGTAACTGCCCAGCAAACAGCTTTACCTTGAGCTGTGCGAAGCTGACTGGCAGGGTGACTAAACGGTTGTTCAGGAGGTCCAGATGCTGCAGATTGACCAGGCGGCCAAAGTCCAAAGGCAGCTGTTGAAGGCGATTTTTACTCAGGTCCAGTTTCACCAGGTGCATCAAACTACAGAAGTCTGACTAAAAGCCAGGTACAAAAAGCAGAAAAATCCGGTCAGCATCTTAACGAAGGAACCTGAGCAGGGAACGTGCTGGGATAGGCTGCACCTTGCGTAAGCTGCAAATCCTCAACTTAGCCCAGGAGGGCAGCTGGAAGAAAATCTCTCGGAAGAGCGAGGGAAGTAGCAGTGGGACAGGACACAAACCGAACGTGGTGATGTGCAGCAGGACAACTGAAAACCGAATTCCCACTGCCAAGGAAAGCAGTCTGTGTTCGCGCTGGGATCCTTTGGCAAGGAGATGCTGCAACCTCTCTGTTCAGGTTGCCCTCTCTCTCTCGTTAGGTGCTACCTGCCTCAGTAAAAGCTGCCCACCTGTACTAACCCCAAATCAGCAGCAGTGCCATTCAGCCACCCCAGGAGGAGCAAAGGGCCATTTCCAAGCCTCCCAGTGAATCTCTGCTTATCTCTCCTGAATATTTCCTAGCAGACCTTCCTGATCTTCACAAAGGCTCCCTCCAGCATCTTACCGGCAAGGAGATGAGGTTGTTACAGGACAAATCCAATACAGTTGCCTTGGGAAGTGCAGCCTGAAAGAGAAACAAAGTACTTGGGCCCGCAGGTAGATACAAACCCGGCCTGCCCGTGCTACTTTTCTTGCAGTCTTCCCCCCCAGCTCTCAGCTTCCTCCCCGAGGCTGTTCCTTACGGGATCGGGACTCAGCATCCTGCCTTTAAAGCCGAAAGGCAGGATTCCTGCGCTTACAGCGCGCAACCTCTCCCTACCAGGAGGCGCAAACCCTCCTCCCGGCCACGTTACCAACCCGCAGGCCAGCTCGGCCACCACCGGCCGCGGCTCGCGGCTCTCCCCGAAGCCCCGGGGGGCACCAGGCGGCACCTCCCCGCTCGCCAGCCGCTCACCAGCTCCCTGACGGGCACCTCGCTCAGATCGCACAGGCTCAGGTCCAGCTCGTTGCCGTCGAGCTTATCCTTCAGGCTCCCCGCTTTGCCACCACCACCACCGCCGCCTCCCCGAGCCATGGCCCCGCCGCGGGCGGCGCTGCGGGAGGCGCGGGGCCGGGGGGCGGCGCGGAGCGATGCGGAGCGGGACAACGCGGAGCTGCCGGGCCAGGCCGAGCCACGCCGCTCCCCGCTCCCCGCCACCCACTTCCGCGGCCACGTCCTCGCTCCGGGACCGGGAGGGTCCCCAGCGCCCTCTGTCGGCCCGGAGCGCCGCGCTCGGCTCCCGCTCTCCTCCTCCTCCTCCCCGGGGCCGCAGCGCTGCCCCCCGGCTGCTCGGAGGCTCGGAGAGGGGCTCCGAGGGTTCCTGCGTCCCCTCCTCACCGGCACCTGGCTGCTGCTGCCGCTTCGGAGCGTCCTCACCAGCACATCATGGCCAAGCTGAGCGATCTGTGCCTTGTTTCGTAGCACTGGGTGCCTTGTTTCACTGGCTGCCGTCGCTTCATTTTCTTCATGGTGTCCATAATCCAAGTGCCACGCTTGTTTTTTTGTGTCTTTTTTATTTTTTTTTTTTGCACCAAGGTGTTTCTCTTTACAAGGAGGAATTCTGCACTTACTACTCCTCCCTTTATCCAGAACTCCAGCACTACACAAAGTGCTCTCTTGCCTCGCCTGACCCGCCGCTGGGAAAGTCAAAAAAAAAGGAGCCGGGGACAGAGCCAAATTGGTATCACCCAGTAATGGGATTGCAGCGAGTACCAGCCTTGGCTTTGCTGGCCCCTATGCAAATTGTGGTGTACTCGATCGGGCACAGTTGTTCAGAACTGCTCCAGCAATCCGCCCCTTGGGTTCCTTGGTGAGGCTTTGAGTTGCCTCCAGGCCTCTCCCAGCACTGAGATCTGCTCACCTCAGCGCAGATGGAACTGAGATCACAGGATTCTGCGAGCAAAGGCATCACAAACAGCAAACACGGATTCGTCTTATAGAAAGCGTAATGAAATTTGCCTGAAGCTGACGTGCTCCCACCCAGGAGGTTCTGGAGGTTTACAAAGCAGGTTTTTGCACCTCCCAGTGGCAAGCTGACATTACAGAGCCCTGCTGTGAGAAAAGCGAGGTCTGCTTACGCAAGAACCTCCCCTGTGCCTCAGCAACTTTCAGAGGGGACCTGGGCGAGACCTTTTGCACATGTAGAAAATGCCTTCATATGTGCAGGGCTGCAGAGACTGGAGTTCCTGGAGTGTGTGCCACCTATTGTGATTAACTTCCAGGCAGATTTTTAAATTTATTAGAATTATTTATCACTCGGTGGCGTGGGGAGTGTTACGTGCCAGGCTGCCATCTCGAAGTCTCAGGCTTTGACCATCTCAGACGAACGTACCCAGACGCGAAGGTCACGTTAACTCCCGTGCAATTCTTTAATACCTAACCGGCCTTCACTCAGTAGCTGTGATCTGAGTGGGGAAAGAAAGGTCAGCCTGAAACTCAGCATGACTTCTGTTTGTTTGTTTTTAAGGTGAGGGTTTTTTAGATCACAGTTGTGTTTTTTTTTTTCCCCTCAGTGGTTAAACAACACCAAGCACAACGCTGTTGCTCCTGCAGTACAGATACAGCTAACTGCACTGGGCTTTGCTGCAGCAGTGGAGGAGATGACTTCTGGCCATGGCTGTCAGGTGGCCTTACAGCATCTCCAGAAACACAGAAACTCACCTAGCGCCTGATTTGAGTGGGACTGACAGATTTGAGCGGGACTGACATGTGCAAACACCTGTGTCTGTCTAACAAGCCTTCAAACCTGCACGAGGCAGACAAATCATACCAAGGGGCACATCTGCCTGCTCTGCAAGAGAAAGAGTGGAGGAACAGCAAAAACACGAAGAGAGGGGGTCAGGGGCTGGAGGAGATTCCCACAGCTTTGCCCAGTGCCCTGTGCACAGCTGCAGCCAATTTTTCACATTTCAAAGACAAAGATTTCCCCTCCTCCAACCACAGAAAACGCTGTCACTGCTACCACTGAGCAAACTCCTTGTGCTTTGTGAACAAGACGTGCATGAGGGAAAATCCAAAGTCTGTTTCGAAAACCAACCAGCCAGGGAGGGGAGATGTGGCAGTCAGCGTTTCACTACGGGGCTGTGTTACGAGCATATTTTATGGCTTTGATGCCTCAGACACGCTGATTCTGTGGCCAGTACTGATTCCCTTGCTCATGAGCCCTCTCGTGCTCAGCACAGCGCAGCGTGCCGTGCAGACTCTGCTTGCTGAACCCGCATCCACCCGGGCAGAGCGTGGGAGGAGGACCAGAAGCAGAACGAGTGCCGGCGATCACCCCACAGGTCAGTGGCCGAGCGAGAAACAGCCCTGCGCTGGCAGCCTGCCTGCGAGGCCATCAAGGCTTCAAACACATCCCCAGCCCTTCCACCAAAACGAGCTGGGCTTTGCCACCGTGCCACACCGTGCCCAAAAAGCCTGTCGGTGCTGTCCCATGGGGGACAACGCATGTGCACCCCAAGTGTCAGCGCTGCTGTGGGGTCCCCCATAGCCCGCCCAGCTCTGGAGCACCAGGGAGCGGGGCTGCGGTGTGGGGTGGTGGTGGTGGAGGCCAGGGGGGCGATGGGCAGGGCCTGGGGGGTCCCAGCACCCACGCCCCCCACCCTGGGCCACGCAGCCTTCCCCTTGGGGCTCCCCCATCCTTCCTTTATCTGCTCCCCCTGCTGGCACCGCCGGGGGGGGCGGCGAGCCGGAGGGAGCGCTGGGGGTCCCCGCATCCCATCCCATCCCATCCTACCCCACTCCCAGGAAAGCACCCGGGGGGGTGCCGAGGGTGGCCCCTTCCCTAACCCAGCCCCTTCCGCAGCCCCCCGGGGCCAGGCTCGGCCGGAGCCGAGGCGGTTCCCGGTGCGCACCGCCCCCGCCCGACCCAGCCCGGCCCGGCCCGGCCCCCCCCCCGCCCCGGTCGCCGCCGCCGCTGCCACCGCCTGGCTCCCGGCTGCCGCTGCCCCCGGCCGCATGGGCATGGCCACCGCCGCCCGGCTCGCAGCGCTGCCCCGCCGGGCGCTGCTCCTCCTGCGGGGCCGGTAGGGACGGGGGAGCTCTGGGGGGGCTGCGGGATGGGGGTGGGGTTGGGGCTGGAAGGGACCTCAAGGGGCTGGAAGGGACCTCAAGGGGCTCTAAGGAGCTGTGAGGGACCTTAAGGGGCTGGAAGGAGCTATAGGGGACCTTAAGGGGCTGTAAGGGACTTTAAGGGACCTTAAGGGGCTGTAAGGGACCTCAAGGGACCTTAAGGGGTTGTAAGGAGCTATAAGGGACCTTAAGGGGTTGTAAAGAGCTATAAGGGACCTTAAGGGGCTGTAAGGGACTTTAAGGGACCTTAAGGAGCTATAACGGACCTTAGGGGGCTGTAAGGACCTTAAGGGCTGTAAGGGACTTTAAGGGGCTGTAAAGGACTTTAAGGAGCAGTGGTGCAAGGTGGGGGTAGAGGGCACAGGGAATTTGGGGGTGGTCGCAGTGTAGAGAGGTCAGGTTCAGCTCGGAGTGCTGGGGGTTTCCTCTAAACGTGTGTCACTGTCTCGTGGCTTCCCAATAACCCCCCCAAAGCAGCAGGAGACAGGGGCCCTGTCCTGGAGGGGGGGGACACAAGGAGCGGGGATGAGGCCAGCACAGTGTGCAGAGGGATGGGAGCGTGTGCCTGGGGCTGGGCAGCTGGGCAGCGGCTTCTCCTCTTGCCCTAGCACCCTGCCGTGAGGGCAGCATCCCTGCTGGCACCGGGCCCTGCAGAGCGTGGGCAGGGTGCTGAGGGGCAACGTGGTGCCAGCCGCTCCTTGGCACCGTGGAGCTCTGGAGCCTGGCCAGTGATTGCTGTTGTTCATTGCTGCCTCTCAGAGCGAGTTCTTGGGAGAAAACAGCAAAAGGGAAAGAACTGATTTGGAAAGGGGCTTGGGAATATTAGTTGAAATTCAGGGAGTAATCCTCCTGAGGAGGCATGGCTTGCAGGGAGTAACTCCACAAGGCGCAGCTCTTGCTCTTCACACGTGAGGTCCAGGTGTTTCCTTTCAGCTGGGTTCACAGAGGGAGTGAGGTGGTGCTGGGGCCAGGACTGCCACCACAAATACTCTTCTCAAGAAACGGGGTCAGAAGAGAAGCAAGGCAAAGTTTGTTGCGGTTTGGGCTCCAGACTAGAATTTCAAGTGGCGCTGAGGGGCAGGAGCCCAAAGCAGTGGGATGCAATGCAAATTTAAAGGAGTAAACTCCTCCTAGGAACAGAAACGTTTTTAAAATTCTGCTGTTAGTATCAGGCAGCGCTTGTCCTTCTGGCAGGAAGAGGGTGGAAGGGAAAGAGGCGCAGTGGAGAAAGTATTCTGCTGTCTGATGGAATTGAGATCTGAGGACTCTGTTAAAGCTTTGGAGACTGTCATTCCTCAAGCTAAAACAAACAAAATAACCAGTAATCAAACCCCATTAACCTTCTGTCAAAAGAGTTGCTTTAAAGAGCAAGGAAGAGGCAAGGCGTTGCAGAGCAGAGGTAGCTTTCACCACCCTTTTATTGCAGTCGCGTTACATAAAAGACCCTGAAGTTATTGTTTCAGGGAGATGATCGCGGTTGACTTTCCAGAACAAAGGAGCTGGCTGAGGAGCCTGTGAACCTCTCCAAACACGACCTCTGTAGCCAGGTTCAATCCGAAGCCACGGGAGGGCAGAGCCTTTTATATAGATGCAGGGGGAATGCCACAGGTCAGGTCAGCGTCCCTCCCGGTTGCAAAGCTGGAGCTTTTGGTGTACTCCCTGTAGTGGGACAAATGGTTACACCGATGCCTCTGCCCCGTGCTGCTCTTCTGATAATTTCTATAGAGACAGGAAGAGTTAAAGGTGAAAAATGAAACTGCTTGTCTTCTGTCAACAGCGATAAAATGTTAGTCCAGGCTATTCATACATAGCCCCTGAGATTAGCCAGGAGTGCTTTATTAAGTTTGATGGCTTCTGCTGCTCACGGCCAGGCAGGAGTGCCAGGATCCAGCTGCCAGGATCCAGCTGCCCGCCTTCCCTCCATGCACGCCAAGGAGGGAAGTTGCTTTTCCCCAGGTCTCTGTCGAGTTACGCTGCTGAACTCTGAAGTTCCTAGAGTGAGGGGCAGCCTGGTGATGAGCTTGGCTTGTTTGCAGCGCGGCAGGCTGGTTGCTGCTGGAATGTGCTGCTGAAAGAGGGCACGCACTCCCCAGGAGTAGTGTTCATCAGCGTGCTGAAACC